AGAGCAATTATATCATGACTTGAAGAGATAAATTTTTGAAGCTCTAGAAGAGTGAATAAATTATTACTTGAAGAGAAAATTTTTAAAGGCTATAGAAGAGTCGATATATTATTACTTGAAGTGGCTAATTTAAAGGCTCCGGAAGAGCAAATATGTTATTATCTAAAAAGATAAATTTATTATGAATGATGTATTATTCTCTTCAAAGTCTCATAGAAATTTGTTGAGTTTCAAAGATATTCATCTGAATTGATATCATATCAAGATAGCAAATGCGAATTCTTATATGTTATAATCATTATATCATGTAGAAAATATCTATCAAAAAATTTATCTCGTTTTCTCTTCTATTCTTTATTACAAACATTGAAATGATTGAAACAAATATTATTGTAAACCGAAGTGTAGTAATTCAAATACTTTTACTATGTGATATGACCAAGTTGTGTTATCTTGGATCTTTTATGATGCAAAAAAATTATTAAAAAAATTATATAAATATCTATTGAAGGGTCGGAAGATTCTTCAATTTAATGAACTTTCATGTTCCGTATGTTGCCAAGGCAAATTGATGATTAAGCCATCATCAAGTAAAATTGAGATTAAATCTTCAGCATTTTTAAAATATATTCAAGGTGATATATGTGGATCAATTTATTCACCATGTGGATAATTTAAATATTTTACAATGTTGATAAATACATCCACAAAATGGTCACATATATACTTATTATCTACTCGAAACCCGACGTTTTCGAGATTGCTAGCAAATAATTTGATTTCGAGCATAATTTTCAAATTATGCCATTAAAACAATTCACTTTGATAATGCCGATGAATTTATTTCTCAAGCATTAAATTATTATTGATTAGCGATTAAAATAAAGGTTGAACATCCCGTTGCTCATGTTCATACTCAAAAAGGTTTAGCAAAATCATTTATCAAAAGGCTCCAATTGATAGCTAAACCATTATTTAAAAATGAAACTCTCTGTTTATGTTTGGGGACATACAATCTTTACATGCAAGCAACACTTATTTGCATATGACCCATAAGTTATCGAAATTCTCTCATCTTTAATTGATTTATGGTAATGAGTCAATTATTTCTTATTTAAGAATTTTTGACATTACGAGTGTATATCCTTGGTGCTCCTCTATAATGAAATAAAATGGGCACTTAAAAGAGATTAGGAATATACGAATCCTCTTCGATAATTCAATCTCTTGATTCATGACCAAGAGAAAATTTTTACAGACTCGATTTATTGATCGTCATTTTGATGAAATAGTTTTTTCAATATTAGGGGAGAGAATAAGCAAAATAAGCAATTGGAAATGTTGAAAAAAAATTACATAAAGTACTCTATCTTATATCACCTTGATTCTTGTCGAAGATAATGTGAACTAGAAGTTCAAAAGATAATTCATTTATCGTGTATTGAAACCAACTCGCTAGATGTATTCTCGGATCTTAAATGAGTAACTAAAATGTATGTCGCCGCTAAGAATGCTCCTATTAGAATTGATGCCCTAGAAGGGCGGTCTATTAATGTTATAACCAATGAATCTAAAGCACGCCCGAAGCGTGGAAGACCGATCGGTTCTAAAGATAAAAATCCCTAAAAGAAAAGGGTAAGATGAAAATATTCATAAAATGATCCAATATATTTTTGATAATAGGCTTCCGAAGAAGTCTAAATACTTGAGAAAAATCAAGAGATTTTGATAAATTATATCAATGCAGGGAGAAAATAGGATCGAAAAAAAATCTATTGATAAGATTTTTGCATATAATATTGCAATTGATATTATAGATGAAAATAAGGACCCCGAGCCTAAATTATTGAAGAATATCGACATAAAGATGATTAGCCTAAATGTAAAGAACAATCTAGGCGAAATTATGTTCTCTTATAAAATAGTAGTTTTTTGAACCCATAGCTAAAACACATGAAGATGTTAAGCTAGTGGGATACAAATATGTATTTATGCGAAAATGAAATAAGAAAAATGAGATTATAAGTTATAAAGCAAAACTTTTAACACAAAAGTTTTCGTAAAGAATTGACATTGACTATGAGGAGACATATTCTCCTATAGTGGATACAATTGCCTTTTGTTATCTCATTAGCTTGGAAAAATGTATGAAAAACATTTATATGCATGCATTTAATAAACGTGATCATAATTTATTTGTGCATTTGAAATGATATCAATATGAAAATCTTAGAAGGACTTAACATGCCGAAGCATGTAATACATATTCTCGAGAAAAGAATTCAATTAAATTATAGAGATCTCTATTAGGATTATTTTAGTATTTGTTTTATTATTTTGATTTTTAGAAATTCAATTTATACTTTTTATATATTTACATATGGAGATACAGCTATATCTTGACGTTCTATGAAGCAAACTATAGTTACCACATCTTCAAATCATGCAGAAATATCAATTCACGAGGCAAGTCGAGAATGTGTTTGGCTAAGATCAAAGATCCATCGTATTTGAGAGACATGCAATTTATCTACCAAGAAAAGAAGTTTCAACAATATCATATGAGGATAATGTTGCTTGTATAATTCCATTGAAGGAAGAATACATCAAAGTGACAATCTAGCAGATTTATTTACTAAAGCATTACCTACTACAATTTTTGAGAAGATGATTCACAAGATTGGAATGCGTCGTCTTAGAGATCTTAAATAATGCCTTCAACAGGGAAGACCAAAATGGGGATAAATGTGTGTAAGAAATGTTGTACTCTTTTTCCTTCACTCGGGATTTTTTTCCCATTGGGTTTTTTCCTAGTAAGGTTTTAACGAGACATGTTCCTTGTACAATGGACATTCAAGGGGAGTTTTATGAAATAATGAATGTCCATCATCATGTTCATCCACTTTTCATATCCCCACTACTTATGATTCTTAATATGATTCAATTCATCATTCAATATGAGAAATTGAAAGGGTGATGCGATTAATTATTCATGATCCCTTCCAATTCTCTTCTCAATTTTGAAGCCTATAAATAGGCTTGATTGTTCATTAGTTGATGTATAAGTTTCTTAGAGAGAATAAGAGAAATTTGAAGTTCTTATCACTTATATTTACATTATAGTGATTTCATTTTCTTGTCATCTTTTTTTTCAATTCTCCTATTATTTCTATTTATTTTATAACAAAAAGATCATTTTAGTCCATCGATTAGAGCTGTGCTTCTTCGAGTCAACAAAAGAAGGCAATCAAATGCAGAAGAGTTCCTGACTTATCGTACAAATAATAATGCAAACTAAATGCAAGCCCATTACGAGGAAAACAATAATTCTCATTTTGATTTTTATAGAACAAATGCGTGAATCTGATAAACTAATACGCCAGTGGCTGCTCTACTGGCAAGTGCATTATTTAGTTTGAAACTTTCTTTCTCATTAAAGAAAAAAAAAAAAAACCGTTGAGACTTAAAAGAGACAGAGGTGGATAAACGACCAAAAATCAGTTGCGTGGACTTTTGAAAAAAACTAGCTAACAATCGACAAAAATTGTAATTAGTCAGCTGTACTTTCGGATCGAATTCCTCTCGTATCTCATTGGAAACATGATCCTTATGTTTCTTAAAGCAAAATTATTAAAGTTAAATTATATAAATATAATTTAATACATTATAAAAATAATAACAACTTATTGCTATTCATATTTATAAATAGTAGAATATTTAAAATTATTTTTTAATCAAAATTAAGTTTATTATTTTTTGAAATTACATTAATGTCAGATGATGTTTCTCTTAATCCTCTCATATTTGGTTAAAAACATGATGGCTATATTTTTTAAATCAAAATTATTAAACTTAAATATAATTTAGTGCATGATAAAAATAATAATTTATTATTATTGTTCTTGATATTTATATGTAATTAGACGTATTCATTATTCGATAAAAATTGAATAACTGAAATGAATAATATCGAAATATCAATTTCGATACGATTATTTTAAAAAAAAATTACAATAAAAAACCTAACTAAAATAATTTCGTTTTCGAGTTCGGTTTTAGTTATTTAAAAAAAATTCGATTAACCGAAAAACCAAAATTTTTAATATATATATATATACCTTTTTTTTAAAAAGTTAGGTTAATCAATACTTTCCCAAATTAAAAGTTCTCTCCTAGATGCACTTCCTCCCACAGACTTCGTACGTACTTTTTTTTGTCTCTACTACAAGTCTTGGATGTACACCAAATAGCAAAGACGTTTGTAGATTTTCTATCGTTTTAAATTCAAGCCTTCTTGAGTATACAATTTATTATTCGTTTATCTACTAATGCATTTGCTATTTTTTAGGGTTTAACTTATTTTCCTTAGTACTAATCCAAAAAGCGAAAAGAAACCCACTCTAAATAGAGATTTTAGAATTTTTAATAAAATTTATCATTTGCGAAAAAAATAAAATAAAATAAATGGAAAAAAATCGAATTATCGAACATCAAAACATTTCAAAATTGAACCGAAAAATTGAATAATATTTTGGTTCGGTTTCGATTTTTTTAAAAAATTTGATTAATTGAAAATAGTTTAAAATATTTGAAAACCAAACCGAATAACCAAACGAGCACCTCTACAAGTAATAGGATATTTAAAATTATTTTTCTTTTAATCAAAATTAATTTTATTTTTTTTAATTAGGTTAGTGTCAGATCGTTCTTCTCTCACTTAATTAAGATCATTGAATTCAAAATCAATTATTAAGTTTGAAATATTAGGGATCCTGTTTCTAAGGAAACATAAAATAATTCAAATCTGACATGTTCAAAAGCCCAAAAAAGAAAAACACAATAAAAAATTAAGGGGAAATTTGTTCTGCATTATTACTACACGTAGCAAGGACCTCTATATAAGTGACATAATTTGTACACTACTCCACGCTCGGAGATCTTTAAACCCAAAAAAAAAAAAAAAAAAAAAAAGCAATCAGACGACTTCCATCGCTCATCCAATGGCCAGCCAACTCAAGTACAGCTTTGCCTCATCCTTAACTCAGAGGTTTGCTGTTCCTAATGACAGAAGTAGTGGAGCTACATTTAGAATCCCACCCGGTAAGAGAAGCTTCATTGTCAAAGCTGTTCAGTCATACAAGGTAAGGATTTCTTTTTCATGTGAGTTCTTTCGATGAGAATAAGATTGATGTATAGGAGTTTGTTCATTGTTTCATGATTTAACTAAGCTGCATATAGCTAGTGATCATACGTAGCCTTGTTGCTAAAGAGATGCATATCCAATGGTTGTAACAGGTACCGACAGAGATGCCAGCAATAGAGGCATATCCAATGAATGGTGGGCATGGAATTTATAGTTATGCCAAGAACTCTTACCGCCAGGTAAAATAAAAATTATGAATAAAGAAAAAAAGGTACAATAAAAATTGTAGGTAAAAAGACCAAAGCTAAGCACCTGCTAGATGCAAATCATAATGGAAATAACCACACAGGAAAATTAATAGTTACATTTTCTTTTCTTATTTGCAGGGACAAGCTATACATGCTGTCAAGGAACTTATCAAAGAGGAAATTACTGAAAAGCTTGATATCAATATGTTTCCTTCATCAGACACATTTCGGATTGTAGATATGGGTTGTTCTGCTGGACCTAACACGTTTTTTGCAGTTCAAAACGTTCTTGAAGCAGTAGAAAAGAAATATCAGTGTCAAGGACTGGATCACCATAGATTGCCTGAGTACCAAGTTTTCTTTAATGATCATTATTCGAATGATTTCAACACCCTTTTCACCTCCCTTCCTCCGAACAGGAATTACTACGTGGCAGGTGTGCCGGGTTCTTTTCACGTTCGTTTATTTCCTGAGGCCTCTCTTCACATTGTCATCTCTTCCTATGCTATCCAATGGATTTCTCATATACCAAAAGAGTTGGTGGACAAGAGCTCTCCTGCTTGGAATAAAGGGAGGACATATTATGCGCATGCAGGAGCTGAAACTATCAAGGCTTATGCAGATCAATTTGCTAAGGACATGGATAACTTCTTGCATTTCAGAGCACAAGAAGTTGTCCCTGGAGGAATGGTTCTACTAACCATCCCAGGTGGCCGCTGGGATGGTGACTCTGATTATCAACTTCTTCCCAATACTTTATATGACCTCCTGGAATCCAGTATTGTCGAGATGGCTCAGAAGGTCAGTAGCCTTGATCTCTAAAATTTCTTTTAGTATCCGATTGCAGAAGTACGACAGTGCAAAATCTTTAACTTGCTGAACTTAATAAAATTATCTACGTGCATCTACTGCAGTTGAATTTAAAATTTTTCCCTTTCCTTTGGGTTTTTTTTTCCTCCCCTTTTAAATTCACTGGAGCAGGGAATCATAAGCGAAGAGAAACTGGATTCCTTCAATGTACCACAATACTTTCCCTCACCACAAGAAATGGAAGCAGCTGTTAAACGAAATGGGTGTTTCTTTGTAGAAAGAATAGAGTGTCTGCACGATGAAAAGAAGCAAGCCAATCCAAAGGAAGCAAGAGCATTTTCTTCTCACATGAGAGCTGGGTTGGAGTTTCTGTTGTCTGAGCACTTTGGACCTGAGATCATGGATGAGCTCTTTGACTCTTTCACCCGAAAGATTGAAGAGAATGAAGTCTTTGATATGGGGGTCGCTTTCAAATTGCTTGTAGTACTTAAACGCAATTAACCCCTACTAATTAATTAGTAGAAGATTATCTAGAAAATCTTGGTGGGTATTTTCCTTCAATATAAGACCAGTCAGATCTGTCAGTGCCTAGCTATCATTCTCTCGATCAGGTTGCAACTGATCCTACTTATGGGCTGGATTCGTATCCAAGGCTTGAAATTAATTAAATAAGAAGCGTGTTAGCCAGTATCTCAATCTGCAATAAATATTATAAACCATTTCGTTGTCTTGTTATATGTTAGAAGAAGAATTTAAATTTATTCTCCTGTTTTCTTCAACGTTCGGATCTGATAATAAAGAACACCTAATTATCAATAGCGTGTAGGTACAGAAAAAGGCTGTTTCAAGATTCCACCATAGACCATGCACGGGTGGCGATCAAAACGTTCCTACTGCATAATTTTAGTTGATCAAATAGCAGGACTAGTTCCCGCGATTCAGTCAACACATCAAATTGAACCCTATTTTAGTTCGTCTCGATCTCCATCCATCACGATCCATAGCTTACATTAGAATTTGATTTGTTGCCCAATTTGGCCACTTGTTATCCTAAGTGTACTTTATTAACTACTAGAAAAAGGAATTAATTCCAACAGATTATTGGTAAGTGATTAGGGAATTTATATCTTTGTAAATTTTTTGTCAATATATGCTATTGGAATTTTGAAATCGCAATTGTTAAAAAAAAAAAAAAAATTAATAGCTTTCATCTCTAATAAAATTAGTTTTATATCTCATATAGGATGAGATAAAAAAAGAATTAATTACTATAAGTAATCATGGCAAGCAATGTGAATTGAAATATGTCACTTAAAACTGAAATGGTATAAAACTATCAGTCTTTCGGTATTTTTACTTGCTGCTTCCATCAATCCCTTATCCCCATCATGTGAACCTTAACATATAATAATTGTGTTCCAATATGGAAAACATTTAATTTATTTTTTTATTGTTTATTTATTTATTTATTTTGTGCTAACCTATTAGTAACTTCTATACCAATTAATTCTTAATTCTTGAAAACAAAGAAGAAAGGACACTAGTTTCTAAAATTTAAAAGACTTGATTATAAATAAGTCCATATGTTTAGCAAAACTAATTAATCAGTCCTTGTAGTTTTAGAGACTATAGAGGCAGAATGGGAGTTGAATATGCATCATGTAGGATAACCTTTGTGGGGATACAAAATGTAATGACTAATGGAGAGTAGTAAAATAGTCCTTTCACTTTGCTCTTCGATTCAAAAGAGTGTGATAAAAGATTGTCAGCATTAAGTTTTTCCCATGACTGTGAGGTTTTGCCACTGACAACATCAAATATGTCTTGAGGCCAATGCTCATCAGCAAGAGTTATATCATATGCAATCAAGTATCTTTGATTGTAAACATCGATAGAGGTGAAGTCGGGTTTAGCTCCAGATTTGAGGCTGCTAAGAGTGGCTTTCTAGTGAGCGACAATGAAGGGAATACCAAAGCTAGCGAATGATGAGGACACCAATATGAGAGATGATAAGAGTATGAATAGAGGTTTCTTTGTTGTTGGATTCGCCATCTGATTTAGTGGTGATGGCGGTGCTTGTGTTATGATGGAGAAAGAGGTTTGTCGTAGTGGTGGTCTCGGCTAGAGATTGAAGATGGTTGAAGATGCTTACATGGTGGTGTGGTTCTGGTTCAGCTTAGGTCTTGATGAAAGTTGAAGAAGTATTGGTGGTGTGGATGTGGCAGGTCCTTGGTGAAGGACATGGGTCAAGGTGGTCTGGTGGCTGGAGGTTGATGATGAGGATGAAACAGTGATGGCGTGGTGATTCTGTGGTTGGAGGTTGAAGATGATGGAGCGACCAGCTGTTCGAATTGGTGAAGTAGATGGGTGTGTTTTTATTTGGATAAAAAATGGTTGGCCCCTTTTGGTTTTTGATGAATAATGACAACCTCTCTTCTGGTAGGAGAAGAATGAATAGAGGTTGATTGGATGGAGGTCCGATGGCTTGATCGAAAGGTGGTTGGCAAGGGTTGTAGCTCTCAGCTGGAAGGGATGAATGAGGGCTACGTTTTTTTTCCTTGCGAAAGGGATGACGAATAGTGCCAACCCCTAGAAAATGGAAAGGAGATGGGTATTTATATATGAAAAATTAATTTAGGTTTTGGATAAACATCAATTTTGGTTCCTGGTTCCTCCGTGTTTTTCAATTTATGTGCAAATTTGTTTGGTTTTCTTCCAATTATCTTCTTAATTGAGATTGTTTTGCCCTTTTGTTTTTAATTCCTTGCCATTGAACTTTTTCTTATCTTCAATTCAGGTTTCCAAATTTTTAACCCTTCTCAATTATATCCCTCAATTGGATTTTTTTATTTAATTTCTTAAATCTTCTCAATTAGACCCCCAGATAATTTTAGTAACTCTCCCCTCTCTTCTTTTCTCTCTCTCTTTTTTATTTTTATTATTTTTTTATTTTTTCTAAACTCCCAAAAACCTTTTTATTACTTTCATCATCATTTCTTTTTACACAAATGTATAAAGCAAAAGATTCAAAATTGAGTGATAACAATATGTAAAAGAAAAAGGACACCACCATCATTATTCACACTCCTTCAAAGAGGCTCAATATCAAACTCAACAAATCTAGATGCTCAAAACTCATACATCTTCAGTTGGTATGATCCTTATGCAATTACTTTAGGGAGGAACTATACTGATCAGTTTCAAAAATGAAGGATGCCCCTATCAATTGGGACTATATTTAGGATGCATTGACATGATTAATGCGTAAACAAAATTTGAGAGATGATCATAAATGTGTTAAGCAAACACGACAGAAACAAAATTTCCTTTCTTGCATGCTTTCACATGGGAAAACAAAGAAGCTTTTACTATTGAGGTAAAAGAGAAAAACATGTATACAAAATAATAATAATAATAATAATAATAAAAGTAATAATTGCTAAAACCTAGATAAAAATCTTGGGAGAAGAAGATTACTGAGAAGAAACATTTTTACCAGTTTTGGGAAACAAAATATCATTTTTTTTTTATAAAAGAAAATAAAATAAAATTCATGATCATATTTAACAAACATAGTTGGAAGAGAACTCTACTTCCTCTTTATCCCAATCCTTAGGAATTTGATATGCAGATAGCAGTATCCTGCTCTACTTAATCTTTCTTTTTATTTATTTATTTCTTTCTTTCTTTCTTTCATCATCATACAGTATAGCATAGATAAGAGGACAGTGGGCCGGGATGGTAGAGGAGGACCCTGGCATACCTCTCCAAGCGTTTTACATAGGCCTATACAGTGGCCAATGCAAAGGGTCGTTGCACGAAAAATGGAAGTCAAGTACAAAACCCTACTTCCAGAGCATATCCAACGAAATTCAGCCTATAATTTTTTAAATTACACTACTGACATTAGTTACTGAAGACCAAAACAAGACCTTGTTCAATATTTTTTTTTAAAAACGGAATTTGTTACCATCGGCTTCCCCAATCTACTTCTCATTTCATAAAATTTTAATTATACTTGAAAGTTGGATAAAAAAATTCAAGAATACAGCATACAATTTTAAGTATTGCTACTGAAATTAAAAAATATCTATTTACTACGATGTTTTTAGGTTTACTGTTGTATATAATAATAATAATGATGATGATGATTAATTATTTTTAGGGTTTTATTTATCATTTAAAAATTTTAGTTTTTATTATTTTTATTAGTATATCTCTTCAGCGATTGAATTTTTTTCTTTCTTCTTTTCACTTAAAAAAGCATTTAACATGAAACCGAGGTATATTTCTAATACCTTTGTTAATAAAAAAAAAAAAGGTATATTTCTAATACATTTCATAATTCATTTTAATTTTTATTTGTGCAGTGTATTATAACTTTTTAGATAAATTTTCAGTAGTTTGTTGATATATACACTCTTTGACATCGAAGCGTCTTCATGTAATGGATCGAATATGTCTAGTCCATCGATGCAAAAATATTTAGACTTACTTATTCATTTTCGATGGATACAACTCTGTTGGGCATTCTTTGTTGATCAAGCGAGAGAAATCATTCATAGTGCAGCCTAATCGTGACTTCTTTTGTGTGGGTTTTTATGGCTAACTTCTTAAGTGCATTGGCTATAAAACATACCACAAGTCCAGATGAGATTGGTTTGTGCAAACAAACTATAGACGAAGCAGTCATCGAATCATACAAACAAAAGAAGAATGAAGAGTACACCATGAGTAGACATGAAAGTTTTGACAAAAATGGGCTCGACCAGCATTGTTAAGAAGAAGATTCCTACTTGGGTTCAAGTTAAACACGATGTTGATGACTCTAGTGCATTCAGGGCAAGTTTAGGGGAGAATGGGCTGACTTGTTTGGGCTGGACCGATGTGATCGAGTTTCCCAGAGACCAAGAAAGGGAATGCTTAAACTTAAGGTCGAGTTGGCTTCAACTCATACCGAATGGCAACAAAGTGTCTTCGCATTGGACCAAGTATTTCTAGTCCATTAGAGTCGATATATTTAGGCTTTTTAGCTCTATTCTAATTCATCCTTATTGGATATGGACTGTTATTGTTATTTGGGTCTTTGTTAAGTTCGAATTGAACTTTTAAGTTAATTAAAATTTGGTCTTTTTTAAGAGTTAGTATTTAAATTTTTCTCTTCTGTAGCTTATCAGAATTTATTGATTTAAGTTTTGAAAATACAGAAAGACTTTCTCTTCCAAATCGTGTACTTGGTTGTATAAAATATCTTTATCCTTGGTAGTATGTGGCAGCTTGATCATCGCATTTAAGAAATCAAAATGGTGTATTTTCGTCTTTGAGTTCCATGACATACGTACTTTGTGGATCTTGATATTTTTGACAAATAGGTCTGGATTTAATTTATCTTTAAATTTAAACTGATTTAAACTGAATTAAATTGATTCTATTTTGAAACTTTGGCTAGCTCTAATTTGTACAATTTAGAATTGGCTTTTTTGAATTTCGACTTTTCGAGCTCCAAAAACTCTAGAACTAGGGGCTAGGGTTTTATTATTGTTTTTAAATTTTGATCATCAGTTCTGTTATGTCTAAATAACATTTGTTAAAATTTCATAATTTTCTGACAAGATTTGACAGTTTCAACTTAACCCTAATTGGAGTGATTTTGGGTTTGTTCATGTATGTTGGTAAATTTTAACTTATTGAAGTAAGGACCTACAGGTATCGGATTGATCTAAAACTTGGACCACAACTTCATCTTGGTTGTGTTAAAAGTTTAAAATATTCTGATAAGTTTTGCTAGAGTTTTAGCTTGTTGCAATAGTTCAGAATTTGCTGGATTTTTGGGTTTGTGTTTATGTGAGCATTGATTTTTTTTAGGATTGATATTCAGAATATTGTTAGATTGTTGCTTATATTGTTGCCAAAGTTTTTGGCTCTTAGTCTAGAGGTTTCGTCCAAGAGGATATTAAGGTGTTTGTGTACTTACTTGATAAGTCTTCACAAAGTTCGATGTCAAATTAGTATCAAAGCCTAAACTAGTTTTTATTTACGTGATTAACACTATTGTGAAGATGCCTTCTAAAAAGAACTATATGCTCGTACGATTTATAGTTGAATTGTAGGTTCGGACGACTCAAGTGATGGAGGAAATCAAACTCTAAATTTTGAGGGTTTCGAACGCGAAGGCTGAGAGGCGAAGGCCTTGAACGAGAAAGCCATGATATTACAAATCGAAGGCAAAAGGCCGAGGGTCAAATGATGATCAAGAGAATTATTGGCAAAGATATCATGTCTTTCATATGAGATGCACATCTCATAGCAACGAGCGTAATGTGATCATCACTAGAGAAAGTTTTAAGAGCATAGTGTCATGAAAAAGTTGAACCTACCAATTGTTGATCATCCTAAACCCTATAAGGTAGCTTGGTGGAATAAAGATTATGTTATATGGGTCATCAAGAGATGTTTAATGAGATTTTTTTATAGGAAAGAAGTACCAAGACAAAAAGGAAACATTATATATGATTGTTTAAAGTTTATGAATGCTTTTATGATTATTAGTTGTAAGAATATTAAGTTTTTTAATATTCGAAACTATTGCCTCGTAATTAAGTAGGAACAATATGTTAAAGTTATTTATGAATGTTGAATGATGGTGAAGGATGTTTTTAGAATTTAATGATGCATCGTGGTAATGTTGTTGAGAGAGGATATGGAAGAAATTTTAGCAAAATGCTTCCGATATGTTAATGAGATGATCATGTGCTTATACTATTAATGAAAAATTTTAATTGATATGTTTAATGATGAATGAGATTAAATTAGAAACAATGTTTAAGTGTAATAAAAGGATATAGGTTTTAGTAATGACCCGTCCGGCTATGACCCTTTAGGTAAGGCATCTCGGGCGACGGATATTACAACATCCTTTAAAAGTAAAATAGATTTTCTAAACTTAATTATGAAATAAGGTTATTGATTTTGTAGAAATAGATAAAGATGGAATGTTTGAAGTACAATGGCAAAGATGAACTCGAGGCTCGATAGCAATATCAATAAGTACGTGGTTTCTTATTTCATATACACTATTGAACAGATTTAAGGTATGTATACAACATGTACAATAATATTTGAGTCTAGTAATGATTTAAATAATATGTCGATGTTTATGCAATAGGATGTTAAAATTTGAATCAATAATGAATGATGATGTGATAAAATGCTAAGATTGAATGATTATTATTATTAAGTTAGAACTAAGATTAGATCTATTGAACTTAGTTCTATATATATATGAGAATTTATG